TTCATCTCCCGGAAACCCGCCGGACTTTCAGCAATTTATCCTCCAGATACCTGTTTCTGATTCATCCGGAGCGTGTGAGCGTGCATGTGTGTCCCCCCCCCCCCCACCAACCGCCGGTGAGAGAGCGCGCGCACACGTCAGCGCGGGGAGGGCACAGCCTGCTTAAGATGCAGTGAACGTGACAGCGGAGGGTCCAGACTAGAGCGGCGCGTGGACGGGAAAGGTGAGCGTGGAGAGGGGGGGGGGGGCGCGCGGACATGCCAACAGAACCAGCCCACCCGCGCACGTGACGCCGCCACAGCACGAGCTCACAGTTCCCGGAGGCGCGCGCAGGTGTCGCGGGGGGGCAAGATGACCGTGGTGCCCGCGGAGAACCTGGACGAGAGCGTGGCCCTGTCCGCGCACGACGCGCACGAGCGCGACCAGGACCAGGACTGCTGCGAGCGCGTGGTCATCAACATCTCGGGGCTGCGCTTTGAAACCCAGCTCAAGACCCTGGCCCAGTTCCCCGAAACCCTCCTGGGGAACCCCAAGAAGAGGATGCGCTTCTTCGACCCGCTCCGGAACGAGTACTTCTTCGACCGGAACCGGCCCAGCTTCGACGCCATCTTGTACTACTACCAGTCCGGGGGCCGGTTGAGGAGGCCGGTCAACGTGCCGGTGGACATCTTCATGGAGGAGATCAAGTTCTACGAGCTGGGCGAGGAGGTGATCGAGAACTTCAAGGAGGACGAGGGCTTCATCAAGGAGGAGGAGCGCCCACTGCCGGAAAACGAGTTCCAGAGGCAGGTCTGGTTGCTCTTCGAGTACCCGGAGAGTTCTGGTCCCGCCCGGGGAATCGCCATTGTCTCGGTCCTGGTCATCCTCATTTCCATAGTGATCTTCTGCCTGGAGACCCTTCCCGAGTTCCGGGAGGAGACCAGGGTGTTCGACGAGCTGCTGGCCACCAACGGGACGGCTCGGCCCAGGAAGCCCAACCCCTTCACGGACCCCTTCTTCATCGTGGAGACCCTCTGCATCATCTGGTTCTCCTTCGAGCTCCTGGTCCGGTTCCTGGCCTGCCCGAGCAAGGCCGCCTTCTTCAAGAACATCATGAACACCATCGACATCGTGGCCATCATGCCCTACTTCATCACGCTGGGGCTGGAGCTGGCCGAGCACCAGGGCAACGGCCAGCAGGCCATGTCCCTCGCCATCCTGAGGGTGATCCGCCTAGTGAGGGTCTTCCGCATCTTCAAGCTTTCCCGACACTCCAAAGGCCTCCAGATCCTGGGCCAGACCCTGAAAGCTAGCATGCGCGAGCTGGGGCTGCTCATCTTCTTCCTCTTCATCGGGGTCATCCTCTTCTCCAGCGCGGTCTACTTCGCGGAGACCGACGACCCGCACTCGGGCTTCTCCAGCATCCCGGACGCCTTCTGGTGGGCGGTGGTTTCCATGACTACGGTGGGCTACGGCGACATGTGCCCGGTGACCATCGGGGGGAAGATCGTGGGCTCTTTGTGCGCCATCGCGGGGGTTCTGACCATCGCTCTGCCCGTGCCCGTCATCGTCTCCAACTTCAACTACTTCTACCACCGGGAGACGGAGGGCGAGGAGCAGTTCCAGTACACGCACGTGTCCTGCGGCCATCAGCAGCCGGCGCCCGCGTTCGGCCAGTTCCAGGAGAGCCACAGCAGGCCGTCCCTGACCAAGTCCGAGTACCCGGACAGCGAGGACGCCGACTCCATAAAATACACCAACTGCAGCCCCCACAAGGCCTACACCGGCAAGCTGAGCGACGTGTGAGCTGGGGGTGGGGGTGGGGGGGGGGGATCAGCGGGATATTCTGGCTTCTGGAGGACCTGGGTCCCATCTATAAACCGGTCTGTGGAGGACCTGGGTCTCTGGAGGAGCTGGGTCCCAGTATCAACCTTTATACAGGTCTCTGGAGGACCTGGGTCCCCCTTTAGACCGGCCTCTGGAGGACCTGGGTCCCACTAACCGGCCTCTGGTGGAGAAGGGTCCTAGTATCCCCCTTTAAATTGGCCTCTGGAGGATCTGGGTCCCACCTTTAAACCAGTCTATGGAGGATCCGGGTCCCCCTAACGGGTCTCTGGAGGACCTGGGTCCCCCTTACTGGTCTCTAGAGGGTCTGGGTCCCACCTTTAAACTGGTCTCTGGTGGAGAAGGGTCCCGGTATCCCCCTTAAAACCAGTTTCTGGTGGACCTGGGTCCCAGTATCCCCCTTTAAACCGGTCTCTGGAGGACCTGGGTCCCACTAACTGGCCTCTGGAGGATCTGGGTCTCACCTTTAAACCGGCCTGTGGAGGATCTGGGTCCCAGTATCCCCCTTTAAACCGGTTTCTGGAGGACCTGGGTCCCACTAACAGGTCTCTGGAGGACCTGGGTCCCAGTATCCCCCTTACTGGTCTCTAGAGGGTCTGGGTCCCCCTAACTGGTCTCTGGAGGACCTGGGTCCCACTAACAGGTCTCTGGAGGACCTGAGTCCCCCTTACTTGTCTCTGGTGGAGAAGGGTCCTGGTACCCCCCTTTAAACCGGTCTCTGGAGGACCTGGGTCCCCCTAAGTGGCCACTGGAGGATCTGGGTCCCAGTATCCCCCTTCAAACCGGTCTCTGGAGGACCTGGGTCCCAGTACCCCCCCCTTAAACCGGCCTCTGGAACTTGTGGAGCAAGCTTTGACATCAAAGGGATTTCCTGTCCAATCAGAGGCAGACGGGACAGGAACATGTGAACCAGTCTTCCATTACGCGCCGAGAGTCAGGAAGCAGCTTAGATCCGCGTACGTAGCACTTTATGCTTCTGGGTTTCATTTAAACGCTCCTAAAAATGCAGATGTGAGGTTTTCTTTAGCTTTTGTGTCTGGATCTGGATCTGGATCTGGATCTGGATCTGGATCAGGACCAAATCCATCAAAGCGCTGAGCGGTCCCCGAGGCCTGAGGCACACAGAGAATATTTCTGAGAGGTGGATCAGGGTCCCAATACCCCCCTTTAAACCGGTCTCTGGAGGACCTGCGTCCCACTAACCGGTCTCTGGGGCAACTGGGTCCAAGTATCCCCCTTTAGACCGGTTTCTGGAGGATCTGGGTCCCACCTTTAAACCAGTCTATGGAGGATCCGGGTCCCCCTAACTGGTCTCTGGAGGACCTGGGTCCCAGTACCCCCCTTTAGACCGGTCTTTGGAGGACCTGGGTCCCACTTTTAAACCGGTTTCTGGAGGACCTGGGTCCCGGTACCCCCCTTTA